GACCGATAAACAAATTGTGACCTATAAATTTTTTGAATTGTGACAGTAAAATAATTTGTGACATATAAAATTTGTAATTTGTGATCAATGAATAATATGTGACCAATTATATTGAATTTGTGACCAAATTATATGGAATTGTGACTTTAATATATTTAATTAATAAAATATATGTTTAATTAATTAATTTATAAATAAAATTTAAAAAAATCTGAAATTTGAAATTTTAAACTTACTTTCTTACATTTGAACTTGGTAAAACTAAACCTCAAAAGAATTTGTGACATATAAAATTTGTGATTTATGATTAATTATATAGAATTTGTGACCAAATTATAAGGAATTGTGACATTAATATATTTAATTAATAAAATATATTTTTAATTAATTAATTTATAAATAAAATTTTTTAAAAATCCGAGATTTGAAATTTTAAACCTTATTATCTTAAATTTGAAATTGGTAAAATTTAACCTCTTAGTTTTGAAATCTTCCCTTAACTTAATATACAATATTTCACATATAAGCCAACATGTTCGATTAAAATCCTTACATATATTTCTCCACCTCTTTCAGTTTTGAATGGATCTAACTGAATCTAACATACGTTAACACATTAATGATTAGACAAAATAAATCATAAGAAGAAATCCAAATTGAAGATGAATAAGAAACATAAACAAACAAAGAAGTGATAGCATGACTCGTAAGATGGATTGTAGAGTATTAAAAGAACGCTACACGATTTGACTCTGGTCTAAGCCATCGTTGAACGTATACTAAGAATGATTTGTCTATGAACTATCGCCAAGGGCTGTTTACACGAAACATCAAACGAGTACTGTCGGAGTTGTATTGTCCAGAGAAATCCCCAGTGCTTGTATAAGGCCCCATTTGAATAGAATACAAGTCATTTGAGGTGCTTGGAGCAGTATAAAGATCTGATGCTTCACTTTGATTATTCATTAACCCAACATTTTCTTCATGCACAGACTGATTAGCCCATGGATGTTTATTGAATTTCCTCAAACTTTCGAGTTCCATTGCCATTTCTTTCATTGTAGGTCTATCTTCACCATTCAAGTACAAACATCTCCTTACAAGTTCAGCAATGGATTGGAGTTGCTCTGAAGTTCCTTCCCTCAAAACCCGAGGCTCAAGAATTGAAAACAAAAGATTTTCTTTCATGGACATGATGAAATGCGTTGCAAGATTTTTTTTTCTTCTTGGCTTCTCTGAATATCAAGGGGCTTTTTCCCAGTCAAAAGTTCTGCAAGAACTACCCCGAAGTTGTAAACGTCGCTTTTTTTGTAAACAGCTGTTACAAAAGGGCGAAATGAACAGCTGAACGCTGCAGATATCAATCATGACGGGGACGATATAGTTAGAAATTGATTGATATGTATTAATCATTGGATAATTGGCAATCAAACCTCATCCATCACAACCTATAGTTCACTTAATCTAAGTCCAACTATTCTGTAGAACTCGGAGTCAATTTTACTCTATTTTGTATCAAAATTACAAAATGATTTACATTTATCAATCAAAGATTCATATTCCCATCATTGAAATTACAATTGAATTTAATCACAATTAAACTTTAGTTATAAGCAGTGGCGGAGCCAGTACCTGACGATCGGTGGAGGCGGAGACAGATTGAAGAAGAAGAAGAAGAAGAAGATACAACCCATCAAGTTATAGAAAAATTGAAATCGGGCCTTTTTTTATTTTTAAAGTTTTGGGCCTCTTGTTTATAAAAAAAGGGAAGAGTCACAAATCAAGCATTAACTGTTACAATTGCAAAAATCAGGTATTTAGTTTATTAATTAAATATATTAAAATCAAAATTATACAATTCATGGTCATAGATGCATATTTACGAGTCATGGTTAATTTACTGGTCACATATTATCAAATTAATTGGTCACAGATTATTTCGAGGTCACAAATCAAAAATTTTATACGTCATTATTTCTTTCATTGGTCACAAACCAAAAATATTATAGGTTACAGTTTACCTATCTGTCACATATTTTCAAATTTATTGGTCACAAATTATCGAAATTTAAGGTGTTAGTCACAATAAACCAAATAGTTGGTCATATACATCAAACACCCCACCCCGATCTCGATCCACCAATACTTGGTCATAAATTAACCAAATAATTGGTCACAAACGTCATCCCACCACCACCACCACCGCCACCAACACACCACAACCGCCACCACCACCACCACAGAAACACGAACAATCGTCGCCAACAACAGAAACGCACCACTGCCGCCGCTGGAAATGATCGCCGCCCCCCACAAACACTTGTTCCAAACACCACACACCACATCTACCTCTACCTCCACTTGCAACTTCAATCAACCACCAATAGCCAACACTACACAAACCGCCATCACCTCACAGCGTCGTCGTCGCCTCCACCATCGTCGTCGTTGCCGCCTCCACCATTTCCAACAAACAAATAAGATCCAAATCAGATCCCGCCAGCATCACTGCGACCACCAGATCCGCCACGACCACCATCACCGCGACCACCAGATCCGCCACCCAACACAGTCAACACTCCACAACCATACAACCAGAAACAAATGCAGAAGAGGAAAAAACAAGGCAATACCGTTGCTAGGGCTAACATCACTGGCTACGAGGGCGCAACATAGCAGCGACGATGCTGCTGTAACAACGACAAGGGCGATGTCGTTTACCCAATTTTTTCGACGGACTATAGCGCCGCTCGCTGCTCAAAGGGAGAGAGGAGAGAGAGAGAGAGAGAGAGAGAGAGAGAGAGAGAGAGAGAGACGAGAGGGGGAAGAAAGTGAATTAGGGTTTTAATATTAATATATTTATTAAAACATAAAATTATTGCCTGATTTTTTAAAATCAATCTTTGAACACCTGATTTTTTGTAATTTCCTCATAAAAATGAAAAAATTAGACCAAATATCAATCCAATCAAATGATTTTTATGGACGTGTTTTGTTATATTGACAATCAATTCCATTCCAATTTCCACACATTTCATCAATTCCCAAAATCGCAAACCCGTTCCTGCAAAGTGCAAACCTACACCTGCGGCTGACCCTATGATTGTCGCTGCTACTGCCTATCGTTGAGTCATCACCAGCCTCTCCTGTCTTAATCCGACAGTTCCTGTGAGTACGCCCTTTTTTTTTGTTATTTTAATTCTTTTTTGACTTATCATTAATGAGCTATTATTTATGTTTTATGAGTTATGATTGAGAAATGAGAATTGTGAGTTGCGATAAATAATTTATATTTTATGATTTATTATTTATGAGTTTTGATTTATGAATGACAATTTGAAGGTTTACATGGAGAAAGAGGTTTTGGAAAAATTGAGGATGGGGCAATATTACAACGTTTTCAAAATATGAGACTCCGTAGAATGTAGATGTCTAAGTTTACAATTACGGCGTATTTGTATTTTATTTTTTTTAATTATTTTGGGTTATATTGAATTATATATTTTCATATGTATATGACTTTTATGTTTTAGTTCATTTATTTATTTATGTATGTATGTGTGCGTGTATATATATTGAAGAATTTTTAATAGTATTTAATTAAATAATAATAAAAGACCTTGTTATTACAATCGTTAATTGTCAGTAGTCAACGTTTGTTCTAGTTGAGCTCCAATCCTAGATTCAGCACTGGTTATAAGCTAATATACCATTCGAATTGATTATCAAACACTCAATCCATGGAATTATATTAAACTTTAATAATTCGCACTTGATAATCAATAGAATATAATAATCAATCACACACATTATTCAACCAGTATGTGGTCAATTGCACCCTTTCCAGTTTCCACGTGATTCTTTACCGGACACAAACGTAGTTTTTGTAGAATAAAAGAAAAATCCATAACTTCAATTATAAAAAAGAAAGAAACAGTAAGTAGACCATCACTAAACATTTCTAAGCACATACATTTAATTATTGTTTAGCTAACTAGTATAAATAAAGACTCGCACAAACCAAGAGTGATTTTCCATTTAATGAATATTTGAACCCCCTTAACTAATTTTTTTTTTTTTGAGAATAAGCATTCCATTAAGTTTCAAAATAGCAAGTGCCGGATATAAGGAGGAGTTTCCTCCAACACAATTCTCTCCTCAAAGAGTTTAAGTGCTTCATGTGCTAAAGTATGAGCAACCACATTAACTTGTCTAGGTACATGACTGACAGACCAAGAATGAAAATAACCAGGCAAACTCTTCGTGTCCTAGATCAGTAGGTCGGGATAGGTCCACATCTCTAGTTCACCTTTAAGTCCCTTCACTATATTCATCGCGTCCCCTTCTAGCATGATTGATCTTAGCTCGATTTGTCTACTCAGTTTGACAGCTTCCATCACTGCAATAGATTCAGCCAAAAAAGCGTCCGGGAGATTATTCCTTGGAGATATCAGTGATGCTTTAAAGTTTCCTGTCCAATCCCTCACAACGACACCTATTCCAATTCGGTGACAGACCGAGTCAACCGCCGCATCCCAATTCACTTTATATTGATGCAAGGGCGGCTCGACCCAATGTGGGGCTGTTTGGTCTCCACTAGTACCAATTCTATCCGGCAAGACATTCACTCTTCTATAGTCCAAAGCAATTTGTGGAGTGTGCTTGCTACTGATACTGGACCCACAAATTAAATAAAGAAAAGTAACTAACCTCGAATGGCGTGACAATAACATGGGCTTCGAGAACGCCCGCCCCAAATCCGGAAAGAAGCCTCCCATGGTGGCTGAGGTTACCCGTTTGCGAGTCCTTGAAAGCCGATTGTAGAACCGCATTGGCACATACTTCAAAGTCAAATGCGTGGCAAAAGGAGTCAATCCTTTCCATAAAGCCCGTACACCTTCATTTCGGGTTATGTTGGTGCCGCAGTGGATAATTCCCTTGTACAAATTGGAGCACTCCAGCTGGAGACGGGTCTTCATGATGTCAATGGGATGTAAGCATCACACCTCCATCACACCTCCCATTGACCCCGATAGTGCCTTCATGTACGGCGGGATTTGTGTTTTTGCTCTCATGATTTTTGTCTGCCATTGGAGGATTGTAGGAGGAGGGGAGGGGAACGGTATCGTCTGGTGGAGTTTAGACTTTAGATTCTCGGCGTCCTCTTCTTCGCCTAAATGGAGAAACTATTATTTAAAGATGGGAAGATTACATATTCAAGAGTATAAGTTTAGTCTATTTCAAAAATAAGAACACAAGTTTAAAGTTACCAAAATCAGATTTTTTTTAAATTTTTTTAAAATTATTATTTATGAAATAATAAATTATTAAATTAATTTATTATTAAATATTTAATTATAATATAATATAATT